AATGTATGATCAATTTATAAATAGATTGCCAGGTAAATCCTTGAACTCTCACTAAGTGATATAATGTATGATCAATTTATAAATAGATTGCCAGGTAAATCCTTGAACTCTCACTAAGTGATATAATGTATGATCTAGTTATAAATAGATTTAGACAAGGTAAATCCTAGAACTCTCACTAAGTGATATAATGTACGATCTAGTTATAAATAGATTTAGTCAAGGTAAATCCTAGAACTCTCACTAAGTAATATAATGTATGATCTAGTTATGAATCGTTTTAGCCAAGGTAGATCCTAGAACTCTCACTAAGTGATATTATGTATGAGCTAGTTTTAAATAGATTTAGCCAAGGTAGATCCTAGAACACTCAATAAGTGACATAATGTATGAGCTAGTTATATATAGATTTAGCCAAGGTAGATCCTAGAATTCTGATTAAATGACATAATGTATGAGCTAGTTATGAATCGTTTTAGCCAAGGTAGATCCTAGAACTCTCACTATGTGACATAATGTATGAGCTAGTTATGAATCGTTTTAGCCAAGGTAGATCCTAGAACTCTCACTAAGTGATATAATGTATGAGCTAGTTATGAATCGTTTTAGCCAATAGATCCTAGAACTCTCACTATGTGACATAATGTATGAGCTAGTTATGAATCGTTTTAGCCAAGGTAGATCCTAGAACTCTCACTAAGTGATATAATGTATGAGCTAGTTATGAATCGTTTTAGCCAAGGTAAATCCTAGAACTCTCACTAAGTGATATAATGTATTATCAAGTTATAAATAGATTTAGCAAAGGTAAATCCTAAACTCTCACTAAGTGATATAATGTATGATCTAGTTATAAATAGATTTAGCCAAGGTAAATCCTAGAACTCTCACTAAGTGATATAATGTATGATCTAGTTATAAATAGATTTAGTCAAGGTAGATCCTAGAACTCGCACTAAGTGATATAATGTATCATTTAGTTATAAATAGATTTAGTCAAGGTATATTCTAGAACTCTCCCTAAGTGATATAATGTATGATCTAGTTATAAATAGATTTAGTCAAGGTAGATCCTAGAACTCTCACTAAGTGATAAAATGTATGATCAATTTATAAAAAGATTGCCAGGTAAATCCTTGAACTCTCACTAAGTGATATAATGTATGATCAATTTATAAATAGATTGCCAGGTAAATCCTTGAACTCTCACTAAGTGATATAATGTATGATCTAGTTATAAATAGATTTAGACAAGGTAAATCCTAGAACTCTCACTAAGTGATATAATGTACGATCTAGTTATAAATAGATTTAGTCAAGGTAAATCCTAGAACTCTCACTAAGTAATATAATGTATGATCTAGTTATGAATCGTTTTAGCCAAGGTAGATCCTAGAACTCTCACTAAGTGATATTATGTATGAGCTAGTTTTAAATAGATTTAGCCAAGGTAGATCCTAGAACACTCAATAAGTGACATAATGTATGAGCTAGTTATATATAGATTTAGCCAAGGTAGATCCTAGAATTCTGATTAAATGACATAATGTATGAGCTAGTTATGAATCGTTTTAGCCAAGGTAGATCCTAGAACTCTCACTATGTGACATAATGTATGAGCTAGTTATGAATCGTTTTAGCCAAGGTAGATCCTAGAACTCTCACTAAGTGATATAATGTATGAGCTAGTTATGAATCGTTTTAGCCAAGGTAGATCCTAGAACTCTCACTAAGTGATATAATGTATGAGCTAGTTATGAATCGTTTTAGCCAAGGTAGATCCTAGAACTCTCACTAAGTGACATAATGTATGAGCTAGTTATGAATCGTTTTAGCCAAGGTAGATCCTAGAACTCTCACTAAGTGACATAATGTATGAGCTAGTTATGAATCGTTTTAGCCAAGGTAGATCCTAGAACTCTCACTAAGTGACATAATGTATGAGCTAGTTATGAATCGTTTTAGCCAAGGTAGATCCTAGAACTCTCACTAAGTGACATAATGTATGAGCTAGTTATGAATCGTTTTAGCCAAGGTAGATCCTAGAACTCTCACTAAGTGACATAATGTATGAGCTAGTTATGAATCGTTTTAGCCAAGGTAGATCCTAGAACTCTCACTAAGTGACATAATGTATGAGCTAGTTATGAATCGTTTTAGCCAAGGTAGATCCTAGAACTCTCACTAAGTGACATAATGTATGAGCTAGTTATGAATCGTTTTAGCCAAGTTAGATCCTAGAACTCTCACTAAGTGACATAATGTATGAGCTAGTTTTTAATCGTTTTAGCCAAGGTAGATCCTAGAACTCTGACTTAGTGACATAATGTATGAGCTAGTTATGAATCATTTCAGCCAAGATAGATCCTAGAACTCTCATTAAGTGACATAATGTATGAGCTAGTTATGAATCATTTTAGCCAAGGTAGATCCTAGAACTCTCACTAAGTGACATAATGTATGAGCTAGTTATGAATCGTTTTAGCCAAGGTAGATCCTAGAACTCTCACTAAGTGACATAATGTATGAGCTAGTTTTTAATCGTTTTAGCCAAGTTAGATCCTAGAACTCTCACTAAGTGACACTACCCTTACTAAAACTATCTAAAACTAACAACATTAGCTAAATATTTTACTTTTATCGAAGTAAAACACTTATAAAGTTTACAATCAATCGTATGTGTAATTGATGTTTATTACCTATACCAGATATTGTATTGTTTTTCTATTCTTCTTGACAGGTTGTTGATATTGAAACTTGAATTACTCATCTAAACATCTGCCTTCCATTTGAAATGGTTCTTGGTCGAATAATGAAGAACAGAACAGATGACGTGTGGATAGGGGACGGGGTGGGGCAAGAACTCTCTGACGTCATCAACCAGCTGTCTGAGGATGTCTACCGCTCTATCGATCTGATCTTCAACTGCTGCCTGCTCCAATGCTTCGCCGTGCTCGGCCTGGTCGGCACCACCCTCAACATCATCGTCTTGTCCAGCTATGACGTCACAAGGGACAGTTCCAACATCCTGTTAGTGGCACTGTCCGCAGCAGATTTCATCTTTTGTATCACTATCCCAATCAGGTAAGGATCTGGCAATCGACTGCCTTCTAAAGTGTACCCCACAAAAATTAATACAACTATGTCTTTAGATAGAGATTCTAGGACACAACTTCCGGTTAATTAGAAAAGAAATTCAACCCAAAATAAATTTCGTCCGAAAATTCCCAACAATTCATCACCACTTTACTCGTCAGTAAAATCTGGCCACTAACTTCCTCTGTTAGAAGACGTGCTAGTGACAGCCAAGATGTTAGGCCGTCTCTGGTACATCCGGCCTTAAATTGAGCCATTCCAAACTCTGCCACAGTTTAAGAGATGAACGGGGCAGGCCAATGTCTTCTTTTTTTCTGTTTAAACAAACATTCAAACTCTACAGGTGGATAGCAGAGAACAAGAACATATCTAGTCATGCATGTATATGAATGCAATATTCTACGTAAAGACCTAACAAGTCATGTATGCATATGAATGCATTCTTCTAAGGAAAGACCTGACTAGTCATGTATGTATATGACATAAATTTAAAGTCCTATTGAAGACATTGTCGGACGTGTTGTCCATAAATTCTGAGGTGATCTGATCAAAGCCGTCACTTGACTTTTGGAGGCCCCCTGCCACTTTAAGTTTTGTTACATATAAATTCAATACAATTATAAAATACTGCATTCTAACGTTGTTCCTCATCACATTCTAACTTTTGGCCCATTAAATTTTTGAGACTCTGGATCTGATATAGCCTCTGACCTCTCTCCACAGAAGATGTCAATGTTTGGTGGCACACATTGCAGACGTCCCAAAAGCCACGAGTGCCGCCACATTCATGACGGAATACTTGTTTGTTTTCAACCGACTCTTCTACTGCGTTAGTATCACTCTGATCGGCGCCATTACCGTCGAGAGATTCCTGGTCGTCTTTTATCCCTTCAGCACCAATCGTCTGCTGAGTCCATTCAATGTGAAGGCCGTGGTCATCATGGCGTATCTGATCAATATTGCGTTTATAGCCCCTGGGTTCGGAATGTTTCAACATGAGTGGATTTATGACACAAATTACCACCAAGAGGTGGCAATCCTCAAGTTTAGCTACTTTTACGAGTCCCACTATGACACGTTGAATTTCCACTTCACAATAATCTATAACACTGGACTCTTGGGCCTCTCCATGATCTTGACCCTGGTGCTGACCCCCGCCATCGGACTACGGATTTGGACCATAACTAAAAAACGCCAGAAACTGACGAAGAAAATCGAACACTTCGACTCCCAGACAGCGAAAATTCTCGTCACCGTCTGCGTCATAAGTTTAATAATCCACGGGCCTGGTATTTTGTTCGATACGGTCGCTTACTTCCTACCAAACTTCATCTACAAGAATATGGGCTACGAGATCTATCAGATCGTGGCAGATTTCTCGGGAACACTTTCGGCGTCAATCAACTTTATCATCTACATGACGATGTCTAGTAAATACAAGCAAAGCTACAGAAAGGTGTTTAGAAGAGTGCTGGCGTCAAAATCTGTTTGCAGATAACAATAAAGTGCTAAAAATAACAATACCAATGTCAATAACAGTAACAATACCAATGCCACATAACAGTAACAATACCAATGCCAAATAACAATAACACTATCTCTATACATACCAAAACCAATAATAGCCCCAATAAAAAGCATCTTTAAGCCGTTGGACACTTGACTCATCCATTGTATTGCCGCTCACGGTAATTCATATTTTTTTCCCCCGTTTATTTAAATTGGATTATTTAAATTGTTCTTTCTGCTTGCATTTCCATCTTGTTTTTAGATAATAATTTTTTTTGGTTGGCACCCAATGACTCTATCTCTCTCTAGTGGTTCATCGCGTCTGCTTCGTGCAGTGAGCGTCGGTTGCAGGATGGGTACAATTTTGAGAGAGCTCTCGTGTGATGGGGTAGACAGAGATGGGTGGCGTGGTGAGGGATGGGGCATGTCACGAGACACTCTCGCTATGATTTATGCCTTGTAGGCCGTGTTTGACTGTGTTTATAATATATTTTGATCAAATTAATTTTATACCGGGATATCCAGGGAAATCACGGGATTCCGAGATGGGCGAAAAGTTATTCCATCTTTTCCCGTGATGAGCTCAAACTTGGGAGACGAGAAACCCTAGTATTGATGTCAGAGAGTTGTATGTCTGATTTGTTAAAACTGTTAATACAACGTTAACTGTATGTGCCGAGGAAGGTTAGGCTGTTAGGGAATAAGGAACACATATTTGTGTTTTTTACATGTTGTGCATTGTCCGCCTGGTCAGCAGTGATACTGCCATTTGACATCGTGTAGGTATAACCTCGTTTCTGCTTGACCCACTTTCATTTTGCACATGCCAGATTACTAACGGGTTCATTTATTATTTCTACAGAAAATAATCAAGCGAAAATACATTGAAGATTAAAAAATATGGTACACTATGTCTCGAACTTTGAACCTAAACAGCCCCCCCAACCCGCTCCGAACACACAAGGGCTTATGAGGGATGATATTTTAGAGATTATCAGGGATGATATTATAGATATTATGATTTTTTTCTGAGATTGCGTTAAAGGCCTTTGAAAAAAATAATGTTATAGTTTGAAGTCTGATTACTAAATAGAATGTTATAGTTTGAAGTCTGATTACTAAATAGAATGTTATAGTTTGAAGTCTGATTACTAAATAGAATGTTATAGTTTGAAGTCTGATTACTAAATAGAATGTTATAGTTTGAAGTCTGATTACTAAATAGAATGTTATAGTTTGAAGTCTGATTACTAAATAGAATGTTATAGTTTGAAGTCTGATTACTAAATAGAATGTTATAGTTTGAAGTCTGATTACTAAATAGAATGTTATAGTTTGAAGTCTGATTACTAAATAGAATGTTATAGTTTGAAGTCTGATTACTAAATAGAATGTTATAGTTTGAAGTCTGATTACTAAATAGAATGTTATAGTTTGAAGTCTGATTACTAAATAGAATGTTATAGTTTGAAGTCTGATTACTAAATAGAATGTTATAGTTTGAAGTCTGATTACTAAATAGAATGTTATAGTTTGAAGTCTGATTACTAAATAGAATGTTATAGTTTGAAGTCTGATTACTAAATAGAATGTTATAGTTTGAAGTCTGATTACTAAATAGAATGTTATAGTTTGAAGTCTGATTACTAAATAGAATGTTATAGTTTGAAGTCTGATTACTAAATAGAATGTTATAGTTTGAAGTCTGATTACTAAATAGAATGTTATAGTTTGAAGTCTGATTACTAAATAGAATGTTATAGTTTGAGGTCTGATTACTAAATAGAATGTTATAGTTTGAGGTCTGGGTTCTAATTGGACGTTTCGTAGGTGCAACTACCGCCAAATAACAGACCATTCCCTGACACAACTTCTTAGCTAAACGACTTCCTACACCAGTTGGGGAAGGGGGTGGGTAGGAGGTTGGGGGTTACAATTTTGGAGATGTTCAAGTGGGGCGTGGGACAAAATGGATTAGGAAACACCTTTGTAACTTAACAACAAGCCTCAAGTCCCCTCATCACGTCTCCCAACAGGTCTCCCCATCAGGTCTCCCCATGAAGTCTCCTTATGAAGTCCTCCATGAAGTCTCCCCATAAAGTCTCCATTTCAAATCTCCCCATAACGTCGCCACATCGCCATCTAGTCTCCCCACCAAGTATTCCCAACACGTCTCCCGTTAACGAGTCTACCCATCACGTTCTCCATCAAGTCTTCCCATCAGGTCTCCCCGTGAAGCCTCCCCATCAATTCTCCCCCCTAAGTCTCTCCATCATGTAGCCCCATCAAATCTCCCCATCAAGTCTGCCCATCACGTCACCACATCTCCATCTAGTCTCCCAATCAAGTAGCTCCATCAAGTCTTTTCATCAAGTCTTTCCATCAGCTCTTTCCATCAAGTCTCCCCATCAAGTCTCCCCATCAAGACTCTTTATCAAAACTCCAAATCAAGAACTCAAATCACATCTCCCCATCCCCATTAAATCTCCCAATCACGTCGCCACATCTTAATCAATTCTCCCGATCAGGTCACCACGTCAAGTATCCCCATCAAGTTTCCCCACGAATTCTCACATCAAGTCTTCCCATCAAGTTTCCCCACGAATTCTCACATCAAGTCTTCCCATCAAATCTACTCGTCAAGTCTCCTTATCACCCCGCCACATCCCCATCAAGTCTTTCCATCAAATTTTTCCATCTTTTCGCCCCATCACCATCTATTCTCCCAATCACATCTCTTCGTCAAGTCTTTCCATCCAGTGTATCCATTAAGCCCCCCATCAAGTTTTTCTATTGTCTACCAATCAAGTCTCCCCATTACGTCGCCCACCCTTATCAAGTTTCCCCATGAATTATCCCCATCACGTCTTTCCATCATGTCTCCCTATCCAGTGTCCAAATCTCATCTCCCCATCAAGTCTCCCCATGAATTCTCCCATAAAGTCTCCTTATCCCCATCTTGTCTCCCCGCCAAATATCGCCATTAAGTATCTCCATCTCGTCTCACAGTCATGTTTCCCATCAAGTCTCCCCATGAATTCTCCCCATAACGTTGCCTCTTCCCCACCACGTCTCTCCATCAAGTCATTTTAACAAGTCTCCCCATCAAGTTTCTCCATCAAGTCGCCAAATTTCTATCAGGTCTTCAGCCAAGTCACCCCATCCCTATCTAGTCTCCCCATCAAGTCTCCCCATCAAGTCTTCTCATCAAGTTTCCCCCTTCCCCATCATGTCTGACTATGAATTCTCCCCATCACGTTGCCCCATCCCCAAGTCTTCCCAATCACGTTTCCCCTCTCCATCAAGTCTCCCTATCAAGTCTCCCTATCAAGTATCCATATCAAGTCTCTCCACCAACTCTCCCATAAAGTCTCCCCATTAAATCATTTTAACAAGTCTCCCCACCACATCGCCCCATCTCCATCAAGTATCCCTATCAAGTCTCCCCATCAAGTCTCTCCATCAAGTCTCCCAATGAAGTCTCTAAACCACGTCTCCTCATCAAGTCTTCTTATCAAGTCGTACCATCAAGTCGCTACATCTCCAACAAGTCTTCCCATCAAGTCTCCCCATCAATTCTCCCCAACAAGTCTCAACATCAAGTCTCCCCATCTTGTTCTGTCGCAGAGCCAAGAGTCAATCAATGGCTATGATTGATCGGTTATATCCCGACATCTCGTCGGGACCAGGTATGTCCGGTTGGGTGGCCAGAAAGAAGTACCCGACAAAGCAGAGTTCAGTAGCGGTACTGAGCTGTTTTGGTCCCTTTGTGCATGTCGTAAGAGATCAAGGAGACATCGCGGTCAGAACTGACCCTGGAGAGACCTTGATATTTTTGATAGTGTAGGGGTGGGTCTTAGTTGGAGCAAATATTTTATTAAAATTAATCCTGGGTTACTCAATTCTGCCAGTTGATGAGTCAATCCAGGCGTTTAGCCAAAGAAAAGAAAAGACACTAAATTGTGCTAGGTCACTGACTTCTGATAGTTGTTTGGTTTCCTTTCAACAGAGAAAAGAAAAGACACACTAAATTGTGCTGGGTCACTGACTTCTGATAGTTGATTGGTTTCCTTTCAACAGAGAAAAGAAAAGACACACTAAATTGTGCTGGGTCACTGACTTCTGATAGTTGATTGGTTTCCTTTCAACAGAGAAAAGAAAAGACACACTAAATTGTGCTGGGTCACTGACTTCTGATAGTTGATTGGTTTCCTTTCAACAGAGAAAAGAAAAGACACACTAAATTGTGCTGGGTCACTGACTTCTGATAGTTGATTGGTTTCCTTTCAACAGAGAAAAGAAAAGACACACTAAATTGTGCTGGGTCACTGACTTCTGATAGTTGATTGGTTTCCTTTCAACAGAGAAAAGAAAAGACACACTAAATTGTGCTGGGTCACTGACTTCTGATAGTTGATTGGTTTCCTTTCAACAGAGAAAAGAAAAGACACACTAAATTGTGCTGGGTCACTGACTTCTGATAGTTGATTGGTTTCCTTTCAACAGAGAAAAGAAAAGACACACTAAATTGTGCTGGGTCACTGACTTCTGATAGTTGATTGGTTTCCTTTCAACAGAGAAAAGAAAAGACACACTTAAATTATGCTGGGTCACTGACTTCTGCAAGTTTATTGTCAATACAGGCGCTAAGACAAAGAAAAGAAAAGACACACTAAATTATGCTGAGTAACTGACTTGTGACAGTTGATTGGTTTCCTTTCAACAGAGAAAAGAAAAGACCAACTCACGAAGACCAACTGTAATCCTACAGTTAGAAAAAGCATCTAAATGATCTCTATTTGATTTCTGTTACATCAATATCTCTGCTTTTACATCAATATCCCAACTTTTACATCAATATACCTGCTTGTACATCAAGATACCTGCTTGTACATCAATATCCCTGTTTTACATCAATATTCCTGCTTCTACATCAATATCTCTTCT